TCACTTGGCCACCTCAGCTTTAGAATTCTTTCACTCTTCCAAAGCAATAAAAAGTCACCCCACTAAGCTGTTCTCTACTCCAAGGGTCCAGGAGACCATGAAGGGTACCACCAATAAAGACTTGGAGCTATTGTGGACTCATGTTTACATCCCTCCAAATTTGTATGTTGATGTTCTAACCTCCAAGAGGAGTATTAGGAGGTGAGGCCTCTGGGAGGTGATCGGGTTTAGATGCCATCATGGGGGCAGAGTTGCGTCAAGGACTACTGCCCCTTGAGAAGAGGAAGAGACATCCTGTCTTCAAGAGCAAGAAAGGAAGAGCTCAGGGGAGCACGCGGCAAGATGGCCGCCCATGTGCCATGAGAGGAGGCCTCAGGATGAAACCTTTCATGCCAGGCACCTTGGCCTTCCCAGCTTCTATAACTGTGAAGAATCAATTTCCATTGCTTAAGCCCCCCAGTCTGTGGTATTAAGTGATGGCAACCCAAGCTGACTAAGGCAAGAACGTTCTGGTAATGTCTGTCAAATATAGCCCTGCCAACGGCAGTTTCTCAGTCTCCGATCTCTGCCAGTCTTCTGTGGAGGGAGAGACACCTTGAAAGAGGCAGGGAGGAGTCTGAACAAGTCAAGACTGAGTGTCTGCTAAAACACTCAAGAACTGTCCCGTACGAGCACCGTCCTCGAACAGTGACATGGGCCAGGGACACAAGAAACAGGACAATGCCTGCAGATTCAACTGTGCCATAGAAGGCCTGTTCCTTTCTTCAGGGGATGCCTCTGGTTTATGTCCTTGTTTACAGAGGATCCATGGACTGTTCGTTAGGATTGGCACAACTTTGCCAGTCAAGCATTGTGACAGTCTGGCAGGAACACAAGGGCCTCAAGTCCCGCCTTGGCTCCAGGACCCCATGATTTCATCAGGATCCCTTGCAGACGTGCAAGCCGTCTCTCTTCCCAGGAACAAGAACAAAGGAGTTTCTGTCACCCCAATCATTGTCTGACCCAGAAGTTTAATCCCCAGCTAGAAGGCAAAGTATGTCTGTGGCAAAACCAAGTAGGCCAGTGGATCTGGGCAGACACCCTGCTGCTCAGATGGCAGGGGTGGCGGGCAGTATGCTGGGGGCTTCTATAATAACACCAAAAGCCACCTGAAAAGTCATCCTGTCTTGGCATCTCCAAGATGCAACTCTGCTATATGCACTAACACCTGCGACTCTCATAGAGGGTTGCTTGGCCCAGGAGCACCCTCTCTTTCTGGGGCTCTCAGACCAAACCCAGGGTCCGCGCATGCGCACTGCTGCCCCGCAGAGGCCCACAGACCGCTGAGGGCTAAATCAAATCAAAGGGATTTGTCATTTTTTAGGGTGAAACAGGGGAGAAAGGAAAACTATTGACACGCCTTTTAATTTGAACTATTTAGGTACAGTGAGTTTCTCTTCCTGCTGGTAGAAAATTAAGCGAACAATTCTGTTAACACCTGGTGAGTGAGTGGTTCTTTCTCTACAAAATGAATTGGATTTATCAAGGTTTGCGTTAAACTGAATTCTCCCCAACTTTAGCCTTTAAATCCAATCAAAAGGTACATTTTCCCCAACAGCTGCACGTTACCCATGTCACTCTTCCCCACACCTCCAGATGCTTCCCCACACTTCTGATGTGTGGGAGGAGGGCCATGCCGCTCCCCTGATGTCATTTTCAGAGGTGACATCAGAAAAATAAGAACAGGGCAGTAAATTATCCTTATTCTTTTTTTTTTTTTTTTTTTTTTTGAGACAGGGTTTCACTGTGCAGCTGAGGCTGGCCTTGAACTCGCAGTGATCCTCTTGTCTCAGCCTCCTGACTGCTGGGATCACAGGTATGTGCTGGGCCAGTAAATTATTCTTAAAGGTGAGTGTCTTCAATTCAAAGACTTAGGTTTTGTTCTTAGACTATGTCCTTTCTATGCTTTTGTTGGCATTAAAGGACATTTCAGCTACGAATACAATAACTCATTGTGATGAAATGTTAAAGTCCCTCTTTTCCAGGGATTATAACTACCTTTAACTTAATGGCATGCTACTAAAGCTTTTCTTTATTTAGGTTTTCCCCCAAATGAATTCCAATAAAAAACACTTCAGTGAAAAGAATAAATCTATAAATATTTTAATATACTTATTTACCTCATCCCTAACACAGCTAATCAGCGGCAGACAATATATTTGTTGTGAAGAGAGTTAATTTCCCAGATTAAACATGCACGTAAACACATAAAGCTGACGGTATTCTGAGATATATGACACTAATAAAGGTAACATTTACTGCTTCAGCCACTGGGCTAAGCACTTTATTGGATTACCTCAGTTAATCCTTACAGCAAACCTATAAAGTAGGTGCTATTCTTATTCCTATTTTATAGGAGTGGTTATAAATGAGGACCCTCATTACTGTAATTTAATCTCCACCAACCCAGAATTTGAGTTGAGTGTTTACTCGGGCTATAAAAAGGTTGAATAAACAAATTAGAAATTAAAAAGGATCATGGCAGGCATCGTTAACCTATTAGAAGATCCTGCGTCTGAAGAGATACCGCAAAACACACATGGATCGCTTCCGAACTGTGATGCTTTGGAGAGCAGTGGGTCTCTGCTCAGTATCACCCCAAGATTAGTCCAAATTAGTAACTCGTCTCTACATGACCCGGTACAGTGGGTGTCAGCCGCTCTCCGTACCATTCCCCTCCTCCCCAGCAGCTCCCAGAGTTCTGTACCCCGCTGTGCACCCCTGGCCTCCCCACTCCCATGGCGAAGCCAGCCTAAGGGGAAACTGACCCAGGAAAGGGGAAGTGGAGGAGAGCTGCAAAGAACTTGGACAATTCAGGCTCCTGCCGAGCTACTGGATCACCCTCTCCCCACAGCTGACCTTACGCCTATACGCTGCAGCGACAGCAGCTCACAAACCCCTGTGTTCTCTGAGAGCCTTTGGGTTTGCTGTTCTGGTTTCATGCTTCAAGGAATCCAAAATGATAAATGGGAAACTAGCGTATACCTGGTCTGAAATGCACATACTGAAATCCTAACCTGGAAGGTGATGCTATTGGGAGGGGGGCCTCAAAGTGGTAATGGGGAAGCTGGGTTAGTGTTCTTATAAAAGAGGCCTGAGAGCCAGGAGTGGTGGTGCATGCCCGCAGTCCTAGCACTCAGGAGGCTGAGGCAGGAGGATCACCAGGATTTCAAGGCCAGCTGGGCTACATAGCAAGGCCCTCTCTCAAAAGACCCAAAACAAAACAAGAAAAGGCCTGAGGGAGAGGTCCCTGGTCCCTTCTGCCACATGAGGATTCAGTTAGAGTGGGGTCTGCACCCCAGAATCTGAGCTCACAGGCACCTCGCCTTGATATGCCAGCTCCAGAACCTGGGCCACAGGCCACTTGCACGGTGTGCTCAACTATCCCGACCCAAGCGGCATCTGCAGCCCTTCCTGACACCTCCCACTGCTTCTCAGCTGTCCTGAATGTTTCTGGGGGCAAATATCACCAGCTTTCAAACTGCTCCAGCGAACAATTGCGCGGCTGTGGGTAAGCCGCTGACCCCAGTCTCTAAGGATGGAAAGCAGGAGGGTTTGGGGGCGCCCCCTCCGGCCAACAGTCTGCGCCACTGACTTCCGCCTGTGAAGCTCACACAATCAAACAAGTGCAAAGGCGCTCTGCCCCACTTGGTACCCGGTCCTCTCTTCCTTCCGGGATACCATGGTGATCTGAACCTATCGCTGCCCGTCGGGATGCTCAGCCCCCCGGGCCAGTTTCCCACAGCCCTGCCTACAGCAGAATCCAGAGGCCCTTCGGAGCCCGAAGCAGTGGTACATGCCCGTTATCATAGCACTCTGGGAGACCTGGACGACTTAGTGAGACCAGAAGGGCCGGGACTGTGTCTCGGCAGTACTGCAAAGCAACAACAACACAACAAAAAACAAAAGCACTGCCTTCATCAGAGTCACTGCAATTACCCTAGGTCAGTGAGCACTGGCTTCTTGCTGGAACCCTGGGAGTGGCTTAAAAATCAAATCAGAATCAGGTGCAATAAAAAACAAAAAGAAACTAAAGCAACGGACACTAGGGGGACAAGCTGGATGTGTAGTCCCAGCACTCAGGAGGCTGAGGCAGGAAGACTGCTAGGAGTTCTGGGCCAGCCTAGGTTCCAAAGCAAGACCTTGTCTCAAAAAAAAAAAAAAAGAAAGAATAGTGGGACAAGGCACATGCTGAGCCCCTTCCCTTGCCATCCCCTCTGTCACTAAGAGCATGTGAAAAAGAGCTGCTTCTTGCTTGGCCAGGGTTTACAGCTAAAGAAAAAATTCAAAATCCCATCTCCATGTAAGGGTACTGACTCTCCCACGGGCATCAATGTGGGACCTGGCAGAGGAGTCCCTGCTGCATGCCCATTTCCTAGAGAGGCAAACTGAGTCCAGAACGGCTCAGAGGTCAGGAGGCAAGAGACACACTAGGAAGCCCCAGGGCCTACGAGAGCTCCTTGTGCAGGAATGGGGCCTGGCCAGCTCTGCAGGTTCCCAGTGCCTCCCTACTATGATTCTCCAGAGACCTAGCCATTTCCAATTCCTTTTCAACACTCAGGGGGCTCCATCCTTCAATAGTCTTTGTATTCTTTCTGTTGTTGTTTTGTAACAAGGTCTCACTGTAGCCCAGGCTGGCCTCAAGCTCACAGCAATCCTGCCTCAGTCTCCAGAGTGCTGGGATTACAGGTGGAGCATGGACCGCCACCTCTGGCTATGGATTCTTAACTATTTCCAACAGCTCTACAGAGAAAGACAAGGCAAGGGGTCCTTCGCTCCATCCCAACCACAATGAACAGCCGCGTGCGGGTCCAGGGAAAGCTTTCTATACATCCAGGGTGTCTAGGCCTGGAGCAGCCCTCCTCCCTGTCTTAGGCATTTTCCAAACCCCATGGTCAAAGAAACAATGCTCACCCCTTTGCCACACACCGATCCAGTGCCAAGAACCCCAGAGATGCTACCTGTTGCAGGAGGCGAGTGTGGTGTGTTCAGGGCCGGACTGCTCTGCTGCCTTCCTCCTTCCGCATCCTCCGGGGCCGGGGCCTGCGGGAGGGACCCAAAGAGAGCGTTCAGGAGACTTGGTGACACAAGGGAACAGGAGGGACCATCTGGGAGGGCTGCCTAGGCCACCACAAGAAGGCCCTGGATCCGAGCAATCAGGGCTCCTTTCATCCTTCTCGTCCCACACCTGATCCAACAGCAAAGGTTCTCAGCTCTCTCTGGCTTCCAGTTGCATCCAGGGCGCCACCACTTCCAGCAGGGTCCAAGCTAGCAGTGCCCCAGGCGTTACCGCAGTTACCTAACTTGTACGCTCCCCTTCCCGGGTGCTATGGGCTGAACTGGTCTCCCCCAAACTCTGTGCTGAAGACCTCACCCTAGGGTCTCATAAGGGACCCGGATGGGGAGGGGTCACTGCAGATATGATGATTTAAAATGGGGTCATCTTGATAGAGGGTGGGGACACTAGTCCCATAGGACTGGGGTCCTCATAAAACAAAGAAATGGGGACACAGCAAGGCACGTGAGGGGGACACCACTGGGAAGACTGGTGTCACCCTGCCACACGTCAAGGGACACAGAAGTCTCAAGAGGGGTCTGGCACTAATCCCTCAGTCCTCGCAGGGGGAGCACCCAGACACCCTGATCTCCACACTTCCGGCCACCTGTCCTGCAATCCCAAGTGAACGGTACCCCGGTTCCTCAGCTCCCCCACACTCCCCAGCTCCTGGCCAGCGGGAGCACCAGCTGCTGGTGTAGACTCCAGATCCCTGGGGAACACAGACAGCTGTGCTGAGGACACCTGCACCTATCCTTGGCTCTGCCAGGGCCTCCGTGGTCACCACGCTTGGTCCACAGAACAAGTCTGGTGTCCAGGTGACAGAGCGGGAAAGGGTTTTCAGAGAATACTAGGACAGAGAGCGAGGAACACAGCCCCCGGAGGTATCTGGCAGTTCACTGGCTCTTCCCCTGCAGGAGAGGAGGGGTCTGCCAGCTTCCTTATTTTTTAATGTTTATTTTTATTAGTCCAGGTTTGAGGTACATAATGGTCACATTTGTCATGGGAACTGATGCATGTACATAACACACGGATGTTCTTTTTATGTCTTCTCCCCTTCCCCCATCTCTTGGTTCCCTTGAGAAAGATCAGTGTCCCTACTTCCTGTTACGGTGGTGCCTCGGTTCACAAACTTAATTCTTTCCCCCTGAAGTTGACATTGAACCTAACCACTGAATTTGATTCTTGTCCAATTTGGTTTGCAACCAGGGTTATGGAAAGCATTAAGTTCCTGAACCAAGGTACCACTGTATCTCTTTTATTTTGCTCTTTATATTTGTCCCATATAAGAAAAAGCTTGTGTGTCTAATTTATTTTACTTAATATTATGGACTCGTGGTGTATCTATTTTCAAAAAATGACTCAAGATTATCCTTCTTTATGACACAGTAATACTCCATTGTATGCAAATACCATCCATTCATCTGCTGATGGACATATAGACCGCTTCCAAGATTTAGCTATTACGAGTTGTGCTGCTAAGAACCGTACTGAGGAGGAGAAAGAGGAGGAGGAGGGACAGGAGGAGGACAGCTGGACCAGGTGTTCCCTCATCCCGCACCTACAGATTCCGGGTCTCAGTGTCCTTGCTCAGTTTCCCTTTCACACTTGATCCAGGACAGACAGACAGCCTGACTTCTTCCTTCAGAGAGGTGCTTGCTGTGGGAGGGACCTGGCTGAGTGGAAGGGCTCACAGTCACCCTAAGAGTCAGGGCTGGGTGCCAAAGTGAGAAAAAATAGCCCTACTTCCGGGAAACCAGATCTGATCATCTTGGATCACCACCCAACCAATCTGGGGTCCCCAGGGCCACAGGGGAAGATGAGTGAGTGGGACATGCCCATTGAGAAATCAAGCTGTACCCACACCAGGGGCCAAAGAGGCAGCGAGTCCTCGTGACTGGGGTAACAGTCCCCGAGAGCTCGGGATGGAGCCCTGACCTTGTCCCCAGCAGCTGCTCGGCCAGGGCTGCTCTCCTGACATCTCTGGGCCTGGCTCTATCAAGGCTGATGCAAGGCCTAAATAAAACCGGAAGTGAGTAAAAAGATCCTGCACAGCCTTAGCGTCACATGAAGGGCCCACTTCATGTCCCTTCCCTCCTTCCTTCTGGTCTTCAGACCTCCTGGCTCTCTTGGGCCTCACTAAGGAGGGTGGGTCCAGCTGGGACAGAGCATTTCCCATGAGACAGTTTGCAAAGAAGCAAGACAAACAAGGGGCTGAGGCAGGAGGATCTCAAGTTTGAAGCCAGCCTGGGCTACATAGTGAGACCCTGTCTCAAAAAACCTACAAACCCCAAAAGGGTCAGCAATGGAACAGAGAGGCCATGCCATGGCTGGTAGGAGGGAAGCCTGGACCTCAGACCCTGCCCAACAGGAAGTCGGTGACAAACTTAGAAAACATCACTGCAGCAGGCCACACTCTGGCCTCAGAGTAGGATGACATGAATCACACTGTGTGTACCGTGTGTTCTCCTAAGCTACTATGTGTTACCCGTCCTACTCTCTCTTAGGCACCAAGGACAGGGGACTCTGAATAGCCACAGGGGCCAGGGTGAGAGGTGCGTGGGGTCCCTTTCCAGCTGGGAAGCTTCAGACAGAAAGAAGAAGTGACGCATAGAGCTCCCCAGGGTCCTGCTTCCCTCTCTGCGGTGGTGGCCCAGTCCCTCTGCACTCTGTAGGGCGACCTCAGCCTACTACTGTCTCCCCTTCTGACTCTGCCCCCCACCTGGGGCTAACATCACTTGTGTAGTTCACACCAGGACAGCACTTGGTTGACTTATTTCTGAGAGCAGCCATCTAGGGACACTGATCTATATGTTCCTTGCTCCCCGCTCGAGGGCAAACTAAAAGTCCTTCCCCAGGGACACCATCTCCCTAGCAGCTGTGGACTGGTATGGTGGATGGGTGCCAGAAGTGCTTGGTAATGAATCAACAACATCCAGCCAGGCATGGGGGTGCAGGCCTGGAATCCCAGCACTTGGGAGGCTGAGGCAGGAGGACCTACAAATTTGATCTCAGCCAAGGTGACTTAGTGAAATCCTGTCTCAAAGTAAGAAAAAATCAAAAGGGCTGGGGATTCAGCTCAGTGTGAATGCTCTAGGTTCACCCCCATGTCGCACAACTAAATAAGCAAACAACATGAATGACATCAATACCAGTCCCAGTCCCCCTCTAGCCCTAAGCAGCCTGTCCCACTTGCCTTGACCCCAGCCCCAGCAGCTCTGCAGTCCACACCCCCAGCACCTGATCACCAGCACTGCCTGCCCCCACCGCAGTGGTTTCCCCACTCCCTCTCCAAGTGAGGTTCCTTTTTTAAGAAAATGACTCATTTAGGAAGAGACGAAAAACCAAAAACTTCAATGGTAGAGATAAAAGGGCACCAAGCCTCTTTTAAACTCCTCCCACTGCAGGCAGAGCTGAGATCCGATAAGCCTCCCCATGGGGGCCTGCTCATGGGAGCTTACGGTATTATCCTCCTCGATGTTTCTAGCAAAACACTTCCAGTAACATTTGCGCCTTTAACGTTTGAGTCTTCTGTGGGGGGCCGGGGCAGGTGGCCCAGGAGCCCGCAGGCAGCAGCTTTGCAAAACCAGGGAAAGAGAAACTCAAGATTAAAGCCCAGGCCTTCAACTGGGTCAAAAAATGATGTGACGCTTTACTACATTTATGACTCTGATTTATTGATGCAGGATGTTGATATGAGGTTATGAGCCTGATGAAAATTATAGGGAGTTTCTCATTAAAAAAAAAAAAAAAAAAACTTCTTGGTATGTGAGATGTTTATAATATTTGTGCATAGTATTTACCAGGAACACAATTATATAATACCGGACACAGCGTGGTTGTAGCAACTGCAAAGCCTAAATAAAACGAGGCTAAAATAAACCATCAGGATGATTCAAATCCAGGGATTCTCAACGTTGGCTGAATTTAAAAACGAACAAACAAACAAAAAAAAACTCCTAGGGTCCACCCTCAAAAATTCTGATACATTTGGTCTGGAGTAGGGCTCCGGGTTCTGGTTTCTTATTGTTGTTTTTTAAATATCCCAGTGATTTGAATGTGCATTGAGGATTGAGAACCACTGAACTACCAATAAGCAAAATGAGATCTAAAGATTAAGGTGGGCCAGGAGCAGTGGTGCATACTTGTAATCCCAGAACTTCAGGAGGCTGAGGCAGAAAGGTTGCAGGCCTGCTTGGACAACTTAGCAAGATGCTGTCTCAAAACAAAATAAACAAACAAAAACAAAACAAAAGAAGAAGAAGAAGAAGACGGGCTGGGGATGCGGCCCTGGGCTCAATCCCTAATACAAAAAAGAAGAAAAAGAAGAAAAAAAAAAGGCAGACCGGGAGGTGCAGCAGCCCAAGATTCCAGGTTTATTTTTTTTTTGTTTCAAGATTGTAGTCAGACACAAAACCAGAACCAAATCTGACACTGATAACTCCTAGTCCAGTTCTGCAATTTTGCTCAGATTTTTGGTATAGAATTGGTTTCAATTTTTTTTTTTTTTTTTTTTTTTAACACAAAGCAAGGGGACTAACAGAGTTACCAACTTTTAGTTCAGCCAAGTAAAGGTGCTTTGTAAGTACCTGCTAGTACTACCACCAGCTCTGGCCGACTCCGGGTCAACGGAGTTGACCTTCCTACCTCTCTCTCTACCCCAAGCCCCACCCAGGAGGTAAAAGCTGAATCACTGTCACTCACCTCCTTGCGACAAATCCAACCAAAATCCAGCGTCAAGGATTCTCCACCTCTTCCCTTCCATAAATGTACAGACCCTTGTTTCTGAAGGTGCGTACCCTACCCACACGCTGCTTCCCGGTCCCTCCAAGCCCACCCTCTACTTCCCCATGCCCAGGCCATAACAATAGCTGTTTAAGTTACAACCACAAACACTCGCAATTTATACCACCACGCACGCAGGGTTCTCCCGCACATCTCCCTAACGGAGGACACCCCAGCAACTACAAAGGAGGCTACCTCTGGG